CTGTAGTGAGTATCCTTTTTTGTTGATTAAACTGTATGAGTAACCTTTCTTGTTGAGACACTTTAGTGAATTACCTTTTTTGATCACAATGTATGAATAACCTTTCTTTTTGATGTTACACGTAGTGAGTCACCTTTTTATGCACACCGTAGTGAGTATCCTTTTCTTTTTGAGCACACTGAGTGATAAAAACCTTTCTTGTTGATGCTACACTGTAGTGAGTATCCCTTTTCTTGTTGAGCTAACTGTAGTGAGTATACCTTTCTTGTTGATGCTACACTGTAATGAGTAAACCTTTCTTGTTAATGCTACTTTTAATAGTAACCTTTCTTGTTGATGGTACACTGTGTGAGTATCCTTTTTGTTATGCTACACGTAGTAAATTTACCTTTCTGTTGATGCTACACTGTATGAGTAACCTTTCTTGTTGATCTACACTGTATGATAATACCTTTCTTTTGTTTTAACACTGTAGTGAGAAACCTTCTTTTGATGCTAATTTAGTAAAATATACCTTTCTTGATGCAGCAATGTAGAATAACCTTTCTTGTTGATGTTACACTGTAGTGAGTACACCTGCTTATGCTAAAACCGTAGTGGGGTATACCTTTCTTGTTGATGCTACACGTAGTATATACCTTTTTTGTTGATGCTACACTTTAGTAAAATATACCTTTTTGATGCAGCAATGTAGTGAAATCCCTTTTCTTTTGATTTACATTTATGGTACACCTTGCTTATGCAAACCCGTAGGATTATCCTTTCGTTGAACTACAGTATGAGAAAACCTTTTTTGTTGTGCACAGTGTTTTTAGAAACCTTTCTTTTTGTTTCACAGGTTTACCCGAGTTTACCTGGAGAGAGTTCCGGGGGGTCAACCCCCCCCGCTCCCCGGTCTTTGACCGGGCCCCCCTGGGACAGAGCCTGATCAACCAGGGTTTTGCTGGCTGCCGTAAACCAAGTACAGCCACAGCCCGGGGGCCCGAACCGATTTGGGTTTTGTCCATGCCAGCTTAAAGATGCCGGGGGTTTGTTGGTAATCCCCCTTTAGTATCTGGGAGGCGTTGAACAGCCCGGGGCCCCTGACACTTATTGAGGGTCCTTAACGTGAGTGACCCCCCTGCTTTTCATTGGGGATGTTGCATCGTCTTTGCTTTCGTAGTGATTTAATTTTCCGTTGAAAGTTGGGTACTATCCCTCTAGGTTTTTCCCGGGTTTAAATTAACAGTATCTCCCCCCGCCTGCGTTCCGGGGAATACGGTTCAAAACCCTCAAGCGCCCCAAAAATTGAGGTGTTTTATCTCCGTTATGCGCGCCGTGATTTCTCTGTACATTTTCTGGGTCAAAATTTACCTGCCTTGAAAGGTGCTTTTTGCAAAAATTTTCCCAGCCTAGATAGAAAAAGGCCCTAAAGAGTGCATCATGGGCTTGGCATCCCCTATTTTTTGAAGGTTCTCATTATCCATCCTGCATTTTTCCTACAATGGATTGTACAATTTTGGTACTTGAAGGTGAGATCCTCCGACATGATCACCCCCAGTTTTTTACTTGGGTTGTTTCGCTCATTTTGGGGCCCCGAATTGTTTTGTACTTGATAAGTTTTATTTCCCCGGTTTCCCATATCTGAGTAATTGAAATTTCCATCGTTGAACTTCATATTGTTTTTTTGCAGCCCACTGAAAAATTTGGTTATGTCCCCCTGGGCCTTTCAGTTTCTCCAAGGAAGACACTGCTTCCCCTGTCAGTTACCTTTCTTGTTAATGATACACTGTATGAATAACCTTTCTTGTTGATGGTACATTGCAGAGTATACCTTTTTTGTTGAGCAAAAACTGTCGGATATACCTTTTTTGGATGCACACTGTAGTATAACCTTTTTGTTTTGCTAACTGTAGTGAGTTACCCTTTTTTTTTTGAGCACATGTATGAATATACTCTTTTGTGTTGTCGCACGAGTGAGTATACCTTTCTTGTTTTATGCTACTCTGTTGGAGTATACCTTTGTTTTTGATGCAACAGTGAAATGATATACCTTCTTGTAGTGTACACAGTATTTAGTAACCTTTTTTTTGATGCTACACTGTAGGAGTATACCTTTGTTGTTTTAAAGCACACGGTAGTGAGTATACCTTTTTTGTTGATGCACACTGTAATAATATACCTTTCTTGTTTTTTGCTACATTGTAGTGAGTAACCTTTTTGTTGATGCTACACGTATCTATACCCTTTTTTATTCAAACCGTATGAGATACCCTTTTTTGCTCATGTGCACTGATGAGTATACTTTCTTGTGATGTACACGTATGAGTATCCCCTTTTTGCTGATGCACACTGTCGTGATTTCCTTCAGGCTCATCACACTGCGTGAGTATACCCTTTTGCTGATTCTGCACTGTAGTGATAACCTTCTTTTGATCTACATTTAAATGGTTTTACCGTCTTTTTGATGCACACTGTATGATATACCTTGTTTATGCACAAACCGTAGTGACATACCTTTTTTTTCTCATCTACACTGAAGGATACGTTTCTTGTGATGCTACCTTTTAAGTATTACCTTTTGCGATGCCACCTGCGTGATATACCCTTTAGCTCATGCTACACGTGCAAGAAAAGGGAACTCACTACAGTGTAGCTCAGCAAAAGGGGATACTCACTACAGCGTAGCATCAGCAAAAGGTATACTCACTCAGCACATCAGCAAAAGGTAAACCAACACGTAGCAACAGCAAGAAGGTTACCTTCCTGCAAAAGCAAAAGCTTATGAGTATACCTTTTTTTTTTCAAATTTGTCCTCCGGTCGTAAATTAGTTACTTAATTTATAATTTTCAAAATAAATTTTTAGTATTCCTAGATGAATAAAAGTCGAAATTCAATTATTTTTTTTTTTAAAATTGTGTTGGAGCACAACATTCAGGTCGACTTTAACCTGTCTAGCGACACTATCTTAAATGTTTTACCTTTAAATAAAAAAAACCGCAACCTAAAGTAACATCCAGCAAGAGGAAACAAAAAACTAGTAAAACATAAATCAGCCACTTATAATGTTGTATGAATGTTATATTTGGATACAATAATGTCCTTGATACTCTGACGACGACGTTCGTTCAATATCGTTCTTCACTTTTTCAATGTTGACGTCAACTGATATTCATCCTGTTATGAATGGAGAAAATTATTTAGAACACTGTGTCCGATCATTGCTTTATCACCAAATGTTTGCTGAAGCATTTTGTGAATTACATTAATTGTCTTGCTGAGTCTGAAACAGTTCCACACACCCTGTTCTTACAAAGATTTCATTTTGCTACACAAATAATTGCAACAACACACTGACTACATAACAACAAATACTCATTTAACCTCAGCAGAATGACTGACAGTACTGTAACTCGCTCACTACTTCACAAAGTAGTGCAGTGCACAATGTGATCTAAACTACCGTCATATTTCAACCAGGAAACAAGCAAAACTCGAGTCCAGAAACTTTTTGATGACACCTCATGTATCATATAGTTGGAAACTGTTTGGTGTAACGCCTTTAGTCTTTGTAATTAGTTTTTAAAAGTACTGTAGTGTGTTGAAGTTATGTGATGCAGCAGGCAGTTTACACACTAATGTTTATGTAGCATTTGTGCACCATGAACTGAAACAAAATGCTCTGGAAAACGTGTAGAGGAGGATGACAAAGATGATCCCATGTATCAGAAATCTTCCCAATGAGGATAGACTAAGGGCCCTGAATCTGCACTCTCTCGAAAGGCGTAGAATTAGGGGGGATATGATCGAGGTGTATAAATGGAAAACAGGAATAAATAAAGGGGATGCAAATAGCGTGCTGAAAATTTCCAGCCGAGACAGGACTCTCAGCAATGATTTCAAGTTGGAAAAATTCAGATTCAGGAAGGATATAGGAAAGCACTGGTTTGGTAATAGAGTTGTGGATGAGTGGAACAAACTCCCGAGTACAGTTATTAAGGCTAAAACGTTGTGTAGTTTTAAAAATAGGTTAGATAAATACATGAGTGGGTGTGGGTGGGTGTGAGTTGGACCTGACTAGCTTGTGCTGCTGGGTCTGGTGCCGTGCTCCTTCCTTGAGTGGAGGTGACCAGACTGGGTGGGTCATTGGGCTAATCCGAGGGGGGGACACGTGGACTTGCTCCGCATGGGTCAGTAGGCCTGCTGCAGTGTTCCTTCTTTCTTATGTTCTTATGTAAAATGCCACTTTAGATGCTTCATGGTATACCTCGCTATCAATACTCAGCATTATTACAATGATTTACTGGTTGATGGTTATACCCCAGAACTTTTAGCTATTGAAAAAACTTTCTAGGATTTATATTGTAGTCTTCGAATTTTGAGCAACATTACCTTTCCTTGGCTGCTGTCATATCACTACACTGTTTCTTACTCTGTGAACTTGATTTACCGCTGAATCATACTGACTGTTTGTCCTAAACCTTATCAGTAACTGATTCCTGAATTTGATGTTATCTAATATCTCAACAGTTATCCAGGGTTCAGTTCTTCGTTTAATGCTAACCTCTTTAACTGGTGCAGTGGCATCAAGGATGGCGATAAATGTGCTTCTAAAGTTTACCTCAGCAACTTATTGCAGTCCAGTCACAGTTGTGTAGCTTACCAGTGCTCGCTACTGCAGTTTCAAGATCTCATTCTTATTGTTTTGCGCAAGCTTATCCTTTTCTTAATGTTGCTTGTGTAAAATTGATCACCATGACCTATGATAATGATGACTCACTGACTAATATTTTCAGAGAAGTTACAAGCTGTGGTCAGGTGTAGTAGTTGACGACTGTTAACTTCCATTGGTTCACTGAGTGTAATGATTTAATCAATGAATTTGCTTATATCTGTTACATAGTTTGTTGTCTTGATGTTGAAAACATATATTGTAGCCACCTAGTATTATTATCTCACACTTGATCAAATCTTTTAATGAGAGCAGCAGAGGCGGTGGACTTACCATAATGTTACTCAGGTCTGCAGAACGAGCACGTGATGGCAGCTGAGTGGGAGAAGTCAGCAGTGCAGGAGCTAGACATCACAGCCACTGACATCTCTACAGACTGCATCATTGACCTCCTCACTAGAGTGCCAGCACTCAGGTGGCTCAGTGCCGGCCAACTAGATGGCTTCACGGACGGTGTGCGTATATACCCTGTATCGTATTGACCATGTACAGAATGCAAGTATCCTCTCATTGTTGTAAATGCTCACTCAGAGGCATCAGTAACCTACCACAGGTTGGCTAATTAATACTGTTTAAAGCCTATCGGCATGGTATCCTTTTCACAAGACAAGAATAGTTTAATATCTAAAACTGGTATTAAAGAAAAACTCTCATCCTATATATATATATATATATATATATATATATATATATAAAATATATATTATATATATATATATATATATATTTATATATATATAATATATATATATTTATATATATAATATATATATATATATATATATATATTGCATTAAAGTGGTTTTAAAACTTACGATATTGCTATTTTGTATTGCACTGTCGTACCGCTGGTGTGGAGGCAGGTGTTGAAGGCATGGACTGAACGGGGAAACATTAAGAGCCTGATAGCTCTGGACCTGGACCTGTGTGACAACCTGACTGAGGAAGGTCTCTACAAGTTCCTGGCCAGGTACGGCCAGAACCTGCGAGGTCTAGTTCTCTCTGGCATCCCTCAGTGCACTGACTCCCTCTGCTCCAACGTCATGCCTGCCCTCAAGAACATCAAGTGAGTGGAATACATGTCAAGGTGCTTATAGTAGTGTTAGTAGTACAGTTCACGGGTAAACACTAAATCAGAAGGGGTCATGCAGTGCCTAGAGAATGGGAGATAATCAGATTTTATCTTAGGGGAAAGTAGCTCCAGTTTAATGGACGAAGAACCCATCGTCAAAGTTCTCTCGTTGCAGTGAATAATAGCCGCAGCCAGCATGTAGACAGACGGTAACCATCGAGGGAGGTACTACCTTCCTCTTACTTCAAAGTGAAATGAAAGCACATGTGTCAGTGGTGACAACTCTTAAATACTTTCGAACCTCTACACCAGTGGTTCCCAAACTTTTTCAGCTTGTTACCCAATTTAACATGCCACATAAAGCATGTTACCCCTTTCACAAAATGTTGTTATTATTGATATATATGGCTAAACGTGAACGTATACAGCCTCGCATACTCTGCTAATCCTAGCAAAACCATTGAAAACGTAAGAACCACACATACATTATATATAAAATTAATAATAGCTACAAATTCACAGTAACAGTGGGTAAATACTAACTATATACTGCACAGAGCAGTACACATACATACCAGCTTATGTCTACCTCGGCTGATGCTCACAGATAAACTGACAGTGTGAAATAGAGGCAGCCTCAGGAAGTGAGTGACGCGTACTGGACAGGTCGATCTGGGCTACTGAGTGACTTTTGTCCTGAAGCATACTTGTCAAAATACTTTTGGGTTTCCACACACTTAGCTATATATTTCTTCTTTTCTAATACTGTATATTAGTTTTTGATGTTTATTGTTATTTGGTTTAACTTTATTACTTACTTATAATAGGTTTACTTTACAACTTTATATACTAAGACAAAGTTAACAATAATCCTCATACCGGGTACCGCATTGTTTTCTTGATTTTCAGAATTCATAACTTTTTTTCTGTCACCCCTCCATTACCCCCAAAAATGGTTAAATTACCCCCAGGGGGTAATTTACCCCCAGTTTGGGAACCACTGCTCTACACTAAGAGTACTCACTGAAGCCTATTATAAGGAAGAAAAAAAAAAGAAAAAAATGGACACTTGTCTCTAGCCCTCATCAGAAGCCAAAGAATATATTCTCTTCGCATCACGTATTTCTCTTGATCTTATTCTATTTCTTTTAGGATTTTGCGAATGGGGTTGACGGAGAACTTGGCATACCGACTTATGGGCAAGATCCATGTTGACGGTCTGCTAGACAACATCGCTACCTACGGTCAGAATCTAGAGCGTCTCGAGATGTCGTGGGATCCTGAGTCTCTTCGTTTCTCCGACAAGAGTCAGAAGGCCATCGACACCATGCGTGTAAAGTGTCTCAGGCTTAAGTGTCTTGTTCTAGCGTGAGTATTATCATAGCTTCTGGGACTTTCCCAACTACTGTAACTAAATATATTTTTCTTAAATAGTTAATTCATGCTGTAATTTGTTTAGTTAAGAGTTCTGAATCCATTATGTGTCTGTGTAGAAAAAAAAATAGAGAGAATGACACAATAAGCTTAAATGGGAAGAAAATGCTTAACTATCCTGCATAAGTAAAGAAAAAAAAATTGACAAGTCACACTGTAAGCAAGGAAAACTCACTCACACAAAAGAAAATACTCAACTGAATAAGCAACACTTTGAAAATCAAGAGAAATTACTTTACTCAAATTAAATTTACTCAAATTTACTTTAAATTGAATTAATGGCACAGTGAGTTGTCTTTACTCTCAATTCAATAAAGAAATTCAACAATAAATGATAAATCAATCAAAAATGTTAAAATGGAATCAATAAAGCTTGTGCAAAATTAAAACAAACTGGGAAAACAATTCACTAAAAAGAAAATAAAATGACACACAAAGAATAAAATATTATGCACAGAACAGAGCATATGAAACTGCACTGAAATAAACTGTACCAATATTGCAAATAACAATTACTAATCAAAAGTACTGCACAACACTGCATAAAATTTCTGAAAGAAAAAAAAATTGAATGGCAGCACAATGTTACACAAGAATTATTGTAAAATGAGTCAATGTTGCAATAATAAAAAATACAGTTTACAAAAACAAAAAAAAATATATTATCAAGGAATGAACTGATTGAACACTTTAACTCTTATTTGCAGCTTAAACAACACTTACTGAATAAGCAAAATAATGATTTACTTTAAAAGAAGAACTTAAAAATTGCACTAAGAATGAATTTGTTCAATGAAATATGAAAATAATAGAGGAAAAAAAAACATAAAAACAATTGAAAGAATTAACACTTACAGTGATGCAGGAAAAGTAACACATCAATATGCGCACAATACTATGAGAATTTTCTTGTAATGAAGCTTAGGGTGTGAAAATTTGGAAAATAATTGTCTTGGTTCAACAAAATAATGGCGCTATTGTCTGTGGAGATAAGACAAATTAGACACTGGCTAAATGAAAGGAAGTAACACAAGAATGTTGAACACATAGAAGAAAAAAAATAGCAAATGAATGAAAACAAAAACAGCAAGAATACACAAATGCTGGGAGAAAAAAAAATAACTGAGACAACACTGAGTTGTGATGCAGAATATAAGGTAACAAGTTACTGAATTACTTTACTGTATAAATTACTAGACAAGGAACACAATACTGTGAACACAAGATAATTGTGAAGTGTAAACACAAGTTTATACTGCTTATATATTGCACACAACAAGGAAAAACATTAAAGTACTTACTTCAAGTATATAAAAAAAAATGAACACAACACAACAGACATAAATAAAGCACGAAAATTAACACTGAAGAGAAAAAAAAATATTGTTGCAAACAGTATATAATGAACACTGATCAAGTCACTGAATGTCACTAAGAAATCAGTCAAGAAAATTGTCTTAACACATGCAAATGTCTCTATAAAAAAATATTATTCATTAACACTATAGCGACGTTGTAGAATGAGGTGGATGGTAGTGAAGGGTAGTGGTGGAGACTCGTGTTTGGCGGCGTTCGCTGACTACTCTCCACACGTGATCGAAGAATTTGCGCTTAAATCGATGATGAACTCACACAGGAGGCTTTTACGATTGCACAAACTGATGAAGGAACACTCTTGGCTCTTGATCCCCTATGTGGTCCTTAAAAATATGATGCTAGAACCTGTAATAAGGGTACAAAAACAGTGGTAGTGGGTGAGGTGGGTGAGGCAGCACAGTGAGACACTGTGTGGTGACTGGGCCTATGGGATGAACGGCGTAAGCCACACTGGGGACAACAGCACTAGGCACGAAGATATTCTAAGACAGGCTGGCTTAAAAAACAAACTCACAAAATACCACAACACCACAGGGATGATAAAACACTCAGAACAGTTAGAACTAGAAGCACAAAGCGATGAAGAAGACTATACCCACGTGGCTTGCTTGAGTACTGGGTTAGTCACCTGGGTTAGTTGCTGGCTGGCTTGGCTTAATCCTTCACACAGACTGGCTTGATAACTTGTAACGATGAGCACAGCAGGGGTGGAAAGCTGGCTTGGCAGGCAAGGCTGCATGGTGTAAGGTTAGGCTGGACTCCCCTTTCCCCACAGATTGGCTTGGTGGCTTGGCTTACTTTGCAAACCTGGGTCAACCCCTTGGAAGTAATGCAAATAAGCAAATAAAATGCTAATACACAGAGACTGACCAGAAGTAGGAAGCAATAGGCTGGTCAATGCTTACTTGGGGTAGCTGCTTGGCTAGGTCGGCCTACTGGCCACACAAAATGTCCGTCGTCAGCTGAGAGAATTTATCTCTGTGCATTGGCGTAATTATCAATTTTACGCCCACACCGCTGTCACCATTTGTCGTGGGGTTCGAAAGGAGATAATAAAGGTTGAAGATATACACACTTGTTGGATGATAACAATATATTGCAGAATGTGAGAAAGGGGAGCCCAACTTGCCATGTGTTGCCTGGTAGACCTATGCGTGGACTGAGAGCGAGGTAGCGCGTCCCACGCACTCATGCCGCATCCCATGACATCATACAAACAGTCACTAGGCCCCAGCAAAGGGGTCGTGTATGTAAAACATATGGATGGTACTGTGGTACACAGATAAGCTATACAACACATGTAGGGGATCAGCAACTATGCTAAAACACACACACACACACACACACACACACACACACACACACACACACACACACACACACACACACACACACACACACACACACATACACACACACACACACACACACACGTGAAGCAGTATCGCTGAATAGTGCTCCCAGGATTTAGCATTCTAGTGGCTGTCCTAAGATATTATTAGCGGTCATCGTACGTGAGTGAATCAGTGAACATACCTACAAGAGTGTAATAGCTTGCAAGAGTGCGAATAATGTGATAAGATCAAGAATTTTACAATTTAAATTTGAATGAATTGTGAGTGAGGGAGGGTAGCAGTCAGCTGATCAGGCTGCTGGCGCAGTGTTGACACAAAATATCCAAACAGTTAATTGGGTTAATGGTGTGATCTGAAATATTAACAAATACATATGTTAGTTAGTTATAACAGCAGTGTAGTGATAAGGTCATAAAAGAGTGATTAAGTAAATACTGAAAGTAAGAAAAAATTAGTCAATCCCCAGATGTTGGTGTTGTGAATGTAGCTAACATCATCAGACTTGTTATGACCATAATACTGTACTTAAGAAAAAAGAGGGAATACCATGTCTTAAAAGAAAAAGAAAATAAAAACTTGAATGCATGATAAAGTTCCTGAAGGAGTTACAAAATTGAAGGAGTTGATAGCAGCCGACCAGCAGGAACCTCCATTGTTGTGCAGACGACATTACTTGCCTATTTGTGGTTAATTTTGGTTAGTGTCTAAAGTCTCAGTGTCTCGCCCTGCTGGTTGTATGCTATACCATCACCCTTTTCCTATTTCATTACCAGGAAAGACAGTGGTAACCCCGATAATGTTTGAAAATTTAAATCTAAATATCCCCCAAAGGAAAACTCCAAAAGAGTTGGGGAGCCTAGTGACCCCCCCTAAACAGCGACAAGCTAGAAAACAATTTAAACACATACAAAAAAACACTTTTGCACCGTAATTATTATTAAATTTAAACATTAAAATAATAAATAAGGAATTAGTGAGAAAAAATAAATCCTAAAATCTTAAAAAATGAAAAAAGAGCCTAGTGTGCGAAGAGGGGGCCCGGGGAAGGGGGGTCCCGGGTAAAACCAAAAAAAAATTTAACAAATAGTGTTAACGTAACCCCCCCCTCTTTTTCAAAAACGCAAGCTAGAAACCCCCACACACACAAAAAACAAAAGGTGTACACAATTAATATTATATAGTATTATTATGTATTTTAAATTTAAGGGGTTTGGGTTTTGGGGAAAAAAAAAATTTAAAAATCTTCAAAAGAGTAGCTTTAACCCTTTAGTGTGGGGCATGCACACCCACACACCCACACCCCCACCCCCCCAAACACACCCACACACCCCACACCCCAAACCCCACACCCACACACACCCCCCAAACCCAAAACACCCAAAACCCCACAAAACCCACACCACCCACACACCCCCCACACCCCCCAAAACACCCACACACCCACACACACCCACACCCCCACACCCCCCAACACCCCACACACCCACACACCCACCCACACCCACACACACCCACCCACACCCACACCCCCAACACACACACCCACACACACCCCCCCCAAACAAAACACACCCACACACACCACACACACCCACACACCCCCACCACACCCACACACACCCACACACCCCCAAAAAAAACACCCCACACACAACACACAACACACACACACACACACCACCACACAAAACCACACACACACACACACACACACACCACAAAACCCCAAACCCCACACCCCCAAAACACACACACAAAACCACACACAAAACACACACAAAACCACACAACACATAACACACACACACTTTGCAACACACACCACACACACACACACCCCACACACATCCCTAAAATTCCCAGACTCACACTTTACACTCCCCCCCCCCACCGAATCTTACCCCTTTTCACCGGGACCCCTCCCCCCCTCTTTCCACCCCACCCCCCCCAACCTCTCCCCCCTTTTTCCCCCTCTCCTTCTCCCCTCACCCATTGCTTCACTCTCCCTTCCCACCCCCCCTCCACACAAACTCTCCCACTAGCCACAGTTCCTCCTTACCCCCCCCCCCCAACACCGAAAATACCAATACAAAACCTAACGTACAAAAAATTACATGGGGTTTTCCCACTCTGAGGCAATCGGGATAAAACAAAAATGGGTTGCCGGACAACAAAAAAAACCCAAAGGGGGCCCAGGGGGAG